TGCCTTGTTACACTCGAATTTCTGCGTTTATTTGACACGGAGTAGGATAGTATACCATGAGAAATACTTGTTACAAACTAGTCACATATACTTGGTAAAACTTTTCTGCCTTTTGTTTTGGCTCATATCAAAGTGCACTACGCGTGGTAATACTCGGTATTGTTTATAGTCATGAAATTGTGTTTACCCAGCCAATGACGTCAGATAATATATTTTGTGATATAAATTAGCATACCCGCTTATTTTCAAAAATGGACAACTGTTGAACTTTGTTGAATTGTTCGTCACATCGTCACCTGATGATCGTACTCAGCGTGAAACTCAGAGTTGTGACTCAATTTTAAGTTAAAATACTATTTGCTCTGTTAAATACTAGATGTTGAGCACTCTTTTTACACTATATAATTGAATATAATATTATTGAAACAATATATATATATATATCGCGCCTTGAAAGAGCGTCTTAATATAAAGCAGTAAAATATGTAGCCTAAAAAGAGCTTTAACGTACGTCGACGTTCTTTTTGCCAGTATATTTTCAAGTTGTATCCTGCCCCAATTAGCCTACGCGCTAGCTTGTTCTATTCTGATTACTCTAAAAATCCTCGTATATATCCACCTGATGATTTTTAAAAAATACGTTCATACACCGAGTGTAATTAACGCACAATGACCGCATGCTAAGGTTGGATTAGCTACCTTTTTTTGATACGCCCTGTATATTGGATGATTTTCGAATATTGGATGATATTGAGAATAATCCAATATTGGACTTATTCATGCATTTTGTGGCATTTTATGGGCGGGATTTTCGGATTTTACAATAAATTCTTGATAGGATTTCGGGATTTTTTCCGATTTCTAAAGAAGTGTATATACGAGGATTTTTAGAGTAATCGGAATAGAACAAGCTATTCACACGGAATAGAACAAGCTACACTCGACACGGACGTCACGCGAAAATTAGTAGGCCTATAAGTAATTTTGGCGGCATTTTGCATCCTAGCACTCGTGCAAGGAAACAAAAAAGCTTTAAAAATCTTATGAGTTATGACTTGTCGTATGTGTTGAAAATTACCACATGCAAACTGACACATTCACAAACACAGTTTTTTTTCCATTCGCGTTGACAAAGACGTTGCTTTCCTATAATAAGCTCCCTATATAGGGCCTAATTGTAACTATATTCACTAAATTGTAAATTGTATTACTATAAAGTTTGCTGTTTACTTTTGTTCTCGTATATGTATAAATATTAGCAATTCTACCCTGTTATGTTTGAATATTGTAATATTACGAGGGCAGTTTGTTAGATAACTATACAAGCCTAAAGTGGCTGAAGACGCAGTAAAACTGCCCGAAACGTTGCAAATATTAAGAATTTTACACTGTACCTTTGTATAATCCTAGAATTTTAAGAATAATCTAAATTAAATAATATGAAGAAAGGTGAAAATTTTAGAACAAAAATTAATAAAAGTTCTAGTATATTTTCTGATTTTTCAAACAAACCCACTTGCAGAAATGCGCAAACCAAAACAGCGCGGGTTAACTCTGGCCCAACCTAGGCCGGTGCATAAATAAGGCATCGGGGCTCGCCTTTCACGTATGAGATCGTGGGTTCGATTCTCTCGTTGCCTACTCATGTAAATATAGACAGTCAACGCTCTGCCGAAAGTCGTGAGTTTCAGTCTCCAGATTGGCAGGTTGCATGGGTTAGGATAAACACAGTTAATAATGTAATATCACATTAAGTATATGTAATTATATAGGTAAGCTCGTATAACACTTCAGGTAAAGAGCATTTGATCATATTCACATGCATGCAATTTTGCGTTAAAGAAATCTTGATAAGACGAACTATCGGGAAAAACCGAAACTTCGTTACTTGTATTCAGGGCCTTCCCCCCTCCCCCCAGGAAAAGTCCCTTTTTCCTACATTTATGTACAAACAAACAAGCGAAAAATAACAAATAAATAAACGGAAAGTAAGTTCTAGGCTTCAACCTTTGTCCTTGACCTTGCACAAAATCAAAATAAACTGAATTTAACGTTTATATATTTCAATTACTGCATATATATATATATATATATATATATATATATATATATATATATATATATATATATATATATATATATATATATATATATATATATATATATATATATATATATATATATATATATATATATATATATATATATATATATATATAGAAAAGGTTTCAATGTGCAACCAAAAGAGACATTTATAACGTAAAATAAAATAAAAGCCACTCCAATTTTGCACAAACGTTTTCGCTTTAATGTTAGCTCCTCAGGTACATATTTACAATGAGTGGAATTTAGTTTATCTATTATCTACGTTCTATGATATCATATTGTAATAACTCTGTTAGGAATGCATATATTTACATGGTGTGAAGTCACCCGTTAAAAACATTCTATTGATCTAAATGTAAGCATAAACTTAATGGTTTTTTAATTAGCGTTCAGATCCGGATTCAGTATATTGATAAGTTCTTTTTCTTTTATCTCCCTAAAAAGTCTGTCCGTGTTAATGCATTGATATATAGGCATTATTTTGAAAATTCCGTTGTTACACATATTTAAGTGTTCGCTTACTTTTAGATGTCTATACTCTTCGTGTCGAATTTGTTTCTTGTGCAATGTCACTCTTTTTCGTAAGTTTTCTGTCTGGCCGACGTAGAAGCTGTCGCATTTTGAGCAAATGATCACGTAAATGACATATCTCGCTTTGCCATTCATCGTTGAATTGACTTTCCAGGTTTTTCCGCTCTTTAATGTAACAGACTTTCCTGTGATTAAAACATCGCATGTTCCACATCGCTTTTCCTCGCATTTTGTTACACAGTGTTCTCTGTCCTCTGAATTGAATTGTGCTTTTGTCAAGTATCGCTTCAAGTTCTTCGGTTGGCGTTTGCTTACAATGAGTTTTGTTCTGTCTAATACTCGTTTCATTTTCTCGGAATTGTTTAGAAATTTAAAGTTCTCCCTTATTTTTCCAATTACTTGAGGATTGTTGGGATTATGAGTTATTACTAAAGGCAAGACATTGTCATCAGTTTTATGTTTTGGTGCCCTCAATTCGTCAATGTTTTTTGATGAAGCCTTCTGTATTCCGTTTTTTATAAGCAATTTCGGATAGTTCTGCTTTTGTAGGAAATATTATTATTAGAAAGAAGCGTCTTGATGAACTAGAATATTTCCTACAAAAGCAGAACTATCCGAAATTGCTTATAAAAAACGGAATACAGAAGGCTTCATCAAAAAACATTGACGAATTGAGGGCACCAAAACATAAAACTGATGACAATGTCTTGCCTTTAGTAATAACTCATAATCCCAACAATCCTCAAGTAATTGGAAAAATAAGGGAGAACTTTAAATTTCTAAACAATTCCGAGAAAATGAAACGAGTATTAGACAGAGCAGAACTCATTGTAAGCAAACGCCAACCGAAGAACTTGAAGCGATACTTGACAAAAGCACAATTCAATTCAGAGGACAGAGAACACTGTGTAACAAAATGCGAGGAAAAGCGATGTGGAACATGCGATGTTTTAATCACAGGAAAGTCTGTTACATTAAAGAGCGGAAAACCCTGGAAAGTCAATTCAACGATGAACTGCAAAGCGAGATATGTCATTTACGTGATCATTTGCTCAAAATGCGACAGCTTCTACGTCGGCCAGACAGAAAACTTACGAAAAAGAGTGACATTGCACAAGGAACAAATTCGACACGAAGAGTATAGACATCTAATAGTAAGCGAACACTTAAATATGTGTAACAACGGAATTTTCAAAATAATGCCTATATATCAATGCATTAACACGGACAGACTTTTTAGGGAGATGAAAGAAAAAGAACTTATCAATATACTGAATCCGGATCTGAACGCTAATTAAAAAACCATTAAGTTTATGCTTAGATTTAGATCAATAGAATGTTTTTAACGGGTGACTTCACACCATGTAAATATATGCATTCCTAACATAGTTATTATAATATGATATCATAGAACGTAGATAATAGATAAACTAAATTCCACTTATTGTAAATATGCACCTGAGGAGCTAACATTAAAGCGAAAACGTTTGTGCAAAATTTGAGTGGCTTTTATTTTATTTTACGTTATAAATGTCTCTTTTGGTTGCACATTGAAACCTTTTCTATATACAACACTTGTATCTTGTTATCTGCAACATTTCACTATATATATATATATATATATATATATATATATATATATATATATATATATATATATATATATATATATATATATATATATATATATATATATATATATATATATATATATATATATATATGTTGTGGTTTCCCACGTTTACGATTCCACTCGTGTAACGACCCTTACAAAAATTCCACATGATTTCACATGTGTGAAATTTCACATGTGAATTTGGAACATGTGATTTTTCACATGTGAAATTTCACATGTGAAATTATGTTTCACATGTTCCAAATTCACATGTTCCAAATTCACATGTGAAATTTCACATGTGAAGTTTCACATGTGAAACACATAATTTCACATGTGTTCACATGTGAAAAGTCACATGTTCCAAATTCACATGTTCCAAATTCACATGTGAAATTTCACATGTGAAACTTCACATGTGAAACACATAATTTCACATGTATTCACATGTGAAAAGTCACATGTTCCAAATTCACATGTTCCAAATTCACATGTGAAATCTCACATGTGAAACTTCACATGTGAAACACATAATTTCACATGTGTTCACATGTGAAAAGTCACATGTTCCAAATTCACATGTTCCAAATTCACATGAGAAACTTCACATGTGAAACACATATTTTCACATGTGTTGACATGTGAAACTTCACATGCGAGATATCACATCTTCCAAATACACATGTGAAATATCACATGTTCCAGTTTCACATGTGAAATTATGCAAAGCTTCAATCATGCACAGCTAAACCTGTCAAACAGTGAGATACTGCAGTGATGGTATATATACTGTAGGAAGTTTAAATAATTTATTTATACAGTTAATATCTACAAATGTTTAGCTAACATACAAAATAATTTATAATAAAGGAAAAAACTTAGCAGTTCAAATGTCTTTTGCAATTTTTCTTCTTTTCGTATCAGCATTTCTTTTGTCTTTGCACTTTTGGGCCATGGCAGCTTTCACTGATGAGGCTGTTGCTCCCGCAAAACGTTTAGTCACATGAGCTACAAGAAAGGAAATACAAGACTATCATTAGCTGTACATACTGTATTTCATGTACCGGTACTGGAACTCCACAGTCAGTTAACATTACAGTATATAGCACAAGTTCACAGTTCACATGCAGCAATATGAGCAATTTCCTCCTATCCAACCTATAAACTTTGCACCTTATTATGAATGGGAAGACGGAAGACCTAAATAAATGTAGTTAGTAGCACAACCCAACCTTTGGTTGACGTTGTTTCTAGTATTATCATAATTGATAACCCTTGGTTCATATGGCTTTTACCCTGACTCGTCCCCAGTAATGTATTCTCTGTGTGGGCGATACATGGCAAATTGGAAACTGCTGCAAGGCTATCTTCTCAACAAGTAAAACTGTAAAATTTCCTGCCATTAGACAGAGTAATATAAAGTAGAGCATATTGCCAGTGAATGGGTTAACAAGAGAAATTAGGTTGGGTCATTCCAGAGAACATCGATACCTAACCTCCCCCATGAAGGAAATTGGAAGTTAACCCCCTATCCCCTTCAAAATTCGAATGTCCTTATACACTTCAGAAACAATTTTTTCTCCCCTCGCCTCCCCTCCGGACGGTTGAAATTTCCTCTGTGCCCAGGGGAGAGTGGATCTTTTCTGGAACGACCCATCAGACACAGTAAAAGAATAAAGTTGTGGCACAATGCAGCTTATGCCATGTCCGGCCTAGTATAATATCCAGTGAACTCCCCATCTTAATGACCTGCCAAACTTCTTGAGAAGTACAGGGTATTCCTGTTTTGTTGGGTTAATATGGCCATGTGTCTAGTGAACCCATTAAGTTGTATTGTACCCTGGTGTGTCCTACTTCCTTATTTTACTGTCTTTTAAATGCCAGATTATTGTACTCTGTCTAATGCCAGACTATTTTTGAGCTCGCTGAAATCCTTCATTAACAATAAATTTATAGTTCTGGTTTAGTACGTAAGAGTGCTGTAAGCCTGTAAATATAGCCTGGCAAAGTCTGTTTAAGGACCTGTAGATATACTGTAGCCAGTAATGATTTTTCTGTGTTGGTGTCATGTACTCAGGAATATGATGCTTGTGATGTTACGCTGAGTATATATCCACACCGGGCAAGCGTAACTAAAAAATATGCCTGACCATGGTGGGAATCGAACCTATGACCTTTGGAATACTAGCCCAATGCTCTGCCAACTGACCTACGCGGACAGATTGATTCAAATACAGTATGTGATATTTCGGAACAGAATCTAATTCCTCCAATATCAATGTAATCTAATAATCAGTAATGATTTTTCTAGTTCCTTCGATTACATTGATATCGAAGGAACTAGATTCTGTTCCGAAATATCACATATTTGAACTGATCTGACCGCTTAGCTCAGTTGGCAGAGTATTGCCAGGCTAGTATTCCAAAGGTTGTAGGTTCGATTCCCACCGTGGTCAGGCATATTTTTCAAGCTTGCCCGGTGTGGATATGCACTCGGAGTAACATCATAAGCATCATAATGTAGCCACTTTGTAATTATTATGATCCCACCGACATGACCCAGCTTGCAATATGAACTCTATCAACTGTTTAGTGAATTATTCTACTTCTATCTGGCCTAGACAGGATCCCACCTGCCAGGACAAGAAACTCTCATGAATATAAGCACTCTATCATCTCTGCCAGGTGGGGTGTATCGTGTCTATATTAAACACACCATCCTGGATTATAACCTACTGTCCATTCGTGCCATTATCATATAAAAAGGCACATATATACAGGGTATACTCTAGAAGGGTTTAGCTTGGAAGATCCTTCAAGCTCAAGCTAGCAAAAGTTTATACTGTTTTACCACATTGTGGGAAACACTAACCATTTAGTCGTACTGTGCCTTGATGCATTCAATAGTCTTGTTTACACTACCAGCCTTGGCCTAGCCTTGGCCAACATTTTGACAGTGTAAACACACTTTGGCCTAGCCTTGTCCTGACCTAGGCCAGGAAATCTGGGCTCACTACAAGTCTATAACCGACTAGGCCTAAGCCTAGGCTTGTGGAAATGGCCTAGCCTTGTCCTGACTAGGGTGATCCGGTTTCGTAAAATAACCGAAACCGAGAATTGTCATAAAATAACCGAGATAACTGACTCTTTTAATCAATGAACTTATTTTGACAAAAATAAACAACATGTCTTGTGTGTTATCCATGTGACGTCTTCGCAGACGTTCGCCTTTCTCTCAGCTAATCAAATCGGAAGCTTTAAGCTTGTTTTGATCTGCCATTTGAGTCGCAGCGCTTTTCTAGGCTTCTAGCATTGATTTAAATTGCGTAATCACCAAAGAGTATAACGTAGCTTGCTTATAGTTTTATGTTGATCACATGTAGCCCGCTTGTTTGTCTTTTTATTTTGAATTTTATATTTTGAATTGGTTTTTCGGTTAGTTGGTTATCTGATATTTAGAAGACTCGTGAAACCGATCTGTAAAAATAACCGTCTCGGCTAACCGAATAACTGCATCACCCTAGTCCCGACCTAGGCCAGGAAATCTGGGCTCACTACAACAGACCTGGCCTAAGCTTGTGTAAATGTAAACACTTTCGGCCCTGGCCGGGGCCTTATTTTTATGGCAATGTGTGTCCACAGTGAGAGATTAGCAGACAACCAGCGGACAACATCACAACACATAAAAATACACAAAATTAATAACAAAATTCTTGGCCAAAGCGGGCCTGTCTCAAAAAAATAGTGTAATGGTGTAAACGTGCCACATTTACCTTGGCCTGTCCAAGGCTAGGTCAAGGTTTAATTGTAGTGAAAACACCATTAATTTTACTCTGTCTAACCCGGCCAGTAACCCTAGGCAGAATTAATGCCTAGGTGATTTTACTTGTCAAGGGGAGAGAGCTGGCACTCAATGACTTGAAAGACCTTGGAAATCCAGGCATTCCAGGGGAGATGTGATTAAAAGAACATAATTTAATTAATACTCTCAAATAATTCTCATGTTTTGGTATGAATAGGCTTGCAAGCCATTTTGTAGCAAACCCATATTTACATTCATGATCACATTTCACATATTGTTTCAAATAATACACTATATAATGTGCTTATTCAAAATTTGAATTGTTGGTTTTAACTAATATTTGGCGGCATTGAAATGAAATAATTTCAATATATAAAATCTCGCGCGCGCAAATTCAAATTTTAGCAGCCACATGTTCAGGCTAGTACAGCAACAAGATAAAATGAAATAATAGGGTCGATGGACGTTATAATTATATGATATAAAGAGTAATAATACATACCTGAGATCAATAAGCCTTTAGCAAGACTTAGAGTCACTTATCCAATACTATTTATACCTTTTCTTGAGCGGAATATAGCTTTTCTTGAGCGAAATCAGTATCCAAACAAAAAAATCAAAAATTTGCAAATCACACTCGACACAGTGTGACCAGGTTTTTTCAGGGCAAATTACCACATCCGGTTTCAAAAATTACTATTTTCGGTCTGAAATTACCACGGTGCTATATTTTCCCAATTTTACCGTATTTTTTTCTAAAATTTCCCCAAAAATGTTGGCGAGC